CCTATATAATCTTTAAAAATTCCATTTAAATTAAATGTGCGTCTCTATTTCCACCAACCGTTTTGTTCCATCACTTTCTCTGTTTTCTATATTTTTTGTTTTCTTTGCATCCGTCAGTCCTGCTTTCAAAAACTTTCGTTGCATTTCTTTATAAATTGTGTTCATGTCGGAGTATTCTTGTTAATAATGTTGTACAAATTCTTTTCTTAAGAGTTCGCTGTACTCATCTCCCTTCTGTCGTATTTTCGAATCTCCCTTTAAAATCAACTATGTTAATAATAAATTACTAAATTTTAATAAATGTCAATATTTGTTGGGATTTTTACACGTAGTACCTGTAATACACTTAAAAACACTTAAAAAAACAACAGTTTAAATTAAAATAAGCTCCGATTACTCTTCAGAATCTTGGAACTGTCTTTTTTCTTACATTAGTTGCTTAGTTTCGTTCCTTATTTTGTCTTTTTTAGTTCTTGTTTTCATTGCCACCTGTAATCTGGCTTTGAGGTTATATTTATGTTTTTAGTACCATCGTCAATTTGGTTCTGATTATTTGGGGGATATTGCTCTATAACCTACGTACTATGGTCTCATGTATACGCAGTTTTTGTCATTTGAATAATAAGTGTTTGTTACAATTTTATGATTAAAACGATTAAATTTCATATTATTCAACTAGAAAAACTTCCATTATGTGTAAATAAGAATTATCGAATAGCTATTAAGGCAACTATAATTGTAACAGAAACTAACCAGAAATATCTTAGTTAAACGGTCTCTCCCATTCTCACATTTTCAGGACATAAATTTAAATTGTGATTATCGTCATTGGAATATGAAAATTCCCACAGGAATGCGCCCGTACTCTAGTAATCGCTTAATAATTGTAGCAATGTTCGAATTCTGTTGCAGTTATTAGCGGTATTGATTGGGGTAGTCCCTAGTGGCCAGATGCACCGCAACAGAAATTAATTCTGAACCGGTAGCAATAATACAACCTGACTCTTATCGACGCAAAAAGTAAAAATTTCCATACAACCGGGAAAAATTGTATTATTTAACATATGCATTAATAGTTTTTTACCCGGACGAACGGAAAACAGGATATTTAACACCAATTCATAAAACGTTATGCGATAACTATAGAAGCATTACAGTGACAGCAACATTTAGCAGGCTACACAGAAAGGTAATAAAAGAACTAAAGATGTATTTGGCCCAAAAGAATTTGTTGATAGTGTTATGCCACAGCCACCTTTACTTCCAAGCCATGAAGTAAAAAAGGCAACACCGCATTCTATGACGTCGGTAGTCCGATAATCAGCTGTAAGGTCTACCAGAATATTAAACTAATTTGAATTTTAGGAAACTGATATTTTTGAAAACTTCAATTCATTACAGAAATATTTTTAGGGAAATTAAATTAATAAAACCTTATATATACCTAGTAAATATATATAAAGTTTTATTATTATTTAGGTTATATTATCAATAAAATAATCACTAGAGTAAAATTTATTGCACTTAAAATACAGTGTCAAACAGTTAATCTTACAATCAAATGCAGTCAAGAATCTCTAGAAATTTTAAATATTAAGTACCTAAGCATATAAATAACACAATACATTAACACGACATTTAAAAAGATTATTAAAAGATACAAAAGATATAAAATTTGTGCTAAGTAAAAAACTTAGTGTAACTATTATGATTAAAAAATTCATCCTAAGAAATCAGACACAATATAAATATGGTTCTAAATTAATCTAATTGAAAATTAAATATTTTACTATTTACTTATAACTTTTGTTGAATTTTCATACTTAGATATACAAAAGTAGCAATTTTAAATATGAATAGGTTTGTTGTCATATAGACCAAGTTAAAAAAGGTATACATGAAAAATGTGTTGAATGTAACATACCATTTATAACTTGTATATCGATTTAAAATAGCCTATATTCTCAAAAGATTTTTGAATGTAATACTCAAATTTGTTATCACTTATCTAAAAAGCAGATCTAAATGAGAAAGTAAGTTCTCTAATTGTGACCATCTTGTTAATTTAATATATTGTAAAATCCATTTCAAATCATTACAACTTAATCTATTCCTACCTACATTAACGATTACACTAAAATTACTGCTAACTATTACACTACATATTACACAAATATTATCACACTTGTGTTCCAACTGATTAATGTTTAATACATAGAAATATACACAGTCACTTGTAATTTTACTTGTCCAGTTTTTCAATGGGATATTATTGTCTAAGTCTAATTGACATAATTATGTTATCTCTTGTTCCCTCTTCTTATGCAAAAAGTTTCTTCTGTCTTCGGGATTCCTTCTTTCTTTAGTACGATGAACAGTTACATATGATGGTACTTCAGGAAATATATTAGGAACTGCATTGCCTTTTAATTTGGGAAATATTAACTTTTCAATGTTCATGAAAATGTTTGGCACATACTACGGAAGATTTGGTAATTGTACAGCCTTCTCTATGAATAGAGCATAAGCCAGTATACCTTCTTTGGGGATCTTTTGGAAACAAAATCATACTTTCTGCCTGTTTCGTTTTTAAAGTACTGGCATAATTGGTTTTGCAACCAGGTACACAACAATGCCAGAGCATCTGTAACAAAAAACAAAAGTATTATTATTGTTGTTTTTAGTTTACATATTTTGTAACAAGAAGCAAAAGTATTATTATTTTCAGTTTGTTTTGTAGGTTATATTTATACTTGCCTTTTAAATTGTGGTTAAGAATCTTCTAAAAGTTCCAAATTTAATGAAATTTTACTTATATTAATATTTTCTAATTGACTTAAACACAATTTACAAATAAAACATTCGAATAAAGTTAAAAAAACAATAAATTCAACAAACTTTACAAGCCTTCCTATATGAAATGTTAAACCAAAACAAACCACAGTCGGACTACCACGCGTTGTTGCCAAATTTCTACTTCATGGCTTGGAAGTCAAGGTGGCTGTGGTTATGCACATACCGCTTTTATTGTTTCAGGGGTTTTTCTTTACATGAGGCTTTGGAGATGTTGGAAGAAGATGAATTACCCCATTCTCAAACTGATATAGTTCCGTTACCTCTGGAAGATGCCGCTGAAAACAGATGAGGATTGACTGGTGAAGAAGAAAACGTGTCTCCGGATAATTTGCCTTCAAACATGTTGAGAACTCTTCGGTTGACTCCGACTCAGATGATGATATTCCAGTATCAAATTTGGTTTAATCCAGAGAAAGGTTTGAAAATTCCACGACAATACCAGTGGTCTGAAGTAGCAACCATCTCAGAGGAAGCAGTAATACTTGATGATTGGTCAAAGGATAATAATCTCAATACTGATACAGAAAATACTCCTATAGACTGGTTCATAAAGTTGTTTGATGAAGAAGTTGGTTGTGAAATCTAATAGATATGTATGAAAAATAAGAAAAAAAGCCTGTGTGTATCCAAGATATGAAAGCATTCGTGGAAATTCTTATTTATAGTGGTTACGCTCAGTACCGAAGAAAAAAGATGTGTTGGGAAAAGGATAGAGATGTTTGTTATTCCCTAGTTTCTGGGGCACTTTCTAGGGATAGGTTTGATTTTATAATGAGTATTCTGCATGTTGCCTATAATAATAAGTTTTACCATTCTGACAAATTCAGTAAAGCTAAACCTCTCGTTAGGAAACTAAATCAAATTTTTTTAAAACATCCAGTTTTAGAAGAGAACCACGGCGTTGATGAAGCCATGGTTTCCTCTTTCGAGAGTTACGGCTACAAGCAGTTTATAAAGGGTAAACCGATAAGATAGAAATATAAACTCTGGGTTGGGTATAGCAACAATTTATGTGGATATTCTCAAATTAAGGTGGGAGCTGAAAAATTTTTATTTATTTTTTGAAAATTTTTTAAGTGGTGTTAATGAGAAGAAGCTGCAGAGTGACAAAAAAGATCGCATCAGAAATAAGGAGATAAAACGAAGAATGGCAATAGAACAAGACATACTCAGCTACATCGAAGAAAAACGTTTAATTTGGTATGGACATGTGAGAAGAACAGATAATACAAGGTGGATAGCAAATATTTCGATTTGGCGCCCAATAGGAAGGAGGAAAAGAGGTAGACCCCGAAGATTATGGAGGGATGAAGTGGACGAGGTCATAGAAAGACGAGACGTTAGAGATGGAGAATGGCAGAACAGAAAGAACTGGAGACGTTGTTTATATAGAACTGGTATTAGAGGAAAAAGTGGTACTTCTGTGTGTTTACTCACTGTATCGATTTGGCTATACAAAATGCTTGGCAACTACACCGAAGCAATCAGGGCACATTGGATCAATTAGCTTTTCAACGACGCAGTGCAACTTCACTTCTTGAAATTCATACAAAAGTGACTTCATATTCTTGTGGACGGTCAAATCGAAGAGAAAATACCGATTCTCATTTCGATGAAATGTACTTTTATGTGATTGTCTAAGAAAAACAAACGAGATGTCGCTACCTCCATGAAAAAATTACTACAATGTGTCAAAAATATTATGTTGGTATCCATGTAGGCTGCTTTGTGAGTTACCACACAAGTGGTAATGCTTGGTCCTGACGTCCTAGATGTAGGACGGTAATTTTTTTTTGTATACATTACCATTTTTTTTTAATATTAACAGTAATGTACTCAGGTATTCCAAATAAAAGATATTTATAACAAAAAATTGCAGTTTTAATACAATTTTTTATGTCAGGGTTATCTGGGTTAAACTTTTACATTGGAATTTAGCTATGCCTAGAATATCAAGGCTTAATAATAGTCATAGCCAAGCTAATCCAATAAATCATCTCATTTGGTTATAATTTTAACATTTGCCTAAAATTTGTTTTACTATAATAAAATATTATAAATCCTTATTCAAATACTTGTAAATGATTTTTTATTGATCAAATTACCTCCAACATGTTTATGTTAATGTTGTAATTATTTTTCAGTTTTTCCCGTTCTTTATTGGGTCAACCCTACTGACCATCTGCACCGCATCCGACATTAATTCACAAGTAGCTACACAATTCGGTCTCGACCCTCACTACCACCCCATTCTCTCACTCTACCACTCCCAAGACAAGCTGGGTCACTATGTTTATGGATACGCAACGCCTACTGTTGTGAAAAGCGAAATTTCGGATAAGGGAGTAACAAGGGTATGATAAATTACAATATTATAATTTCAAACTCTGTCCTATTTCCGGATTTATTTTGAATAAATATATTTGAATAAAATATTGAGAAAATATACTAGAACAATTTTTTTATGAAGATGTTTATAATTCAACCTTAAGATAATATACACATTTACACCCATTTAACTTCAGACAAAAATTCTTGTTTTCTTACTATGTAGTTCGTTCTAAAAATTTATAAACCTCCTCTGTGGCTCAGTGGTAAGAGCGCCTACCTTTACCACGACCTAAAGGTCGTGAGTTCGAATCTCACCTGGGTGGAAATTTTCGTTTAATGAAAATTAATGAATGAAAATAATTTCTATCCTTGTGCGATCGGTACTCACCAGAGGGACCGCAGACGTTCGGATACAATTAGCGTCTCTTAGCAAAGACAATGACGTCGACTTTGCTAAGTATCAAGACAATTACTCTACACATACACACACACAGTAGGTACCTGACTGTACCATGCCAATGATCATAGTTGTCGAGGCATTAACTCAATAAAAAAAAGTATTTATGTTTTTCCACAAACATATTGTCATTGTTTCGAGCTCTTTATGTTTATATTAGTTAGTATACATATACTTTTAACCAATTTTTAATAATCTACGCACTTTATATCACTGCATTTCTGTAATCCCGTATTTGATCACTTTCGGCATAGTCTTCGCGGGGTTTTCTGCGGAAAATGACCAACATTTTAAAAATACTCCATGTTCAATGGCCTCCCAATTTTTTTTCTCGGAGAAAAATCTTTAGCTAGTCCTACCCAACATCCACCGTAACATTTTCATTTCAACTAACTCCATCTTCTTTTTCTGAGTCTTCTTTACAGGTCACACTAAACCGCAGGTCTCACCACATTCTTGTTTCCCTATAAAAATATTAATTGTTTTGTATTATTATAGACCAAATCCTTGTATAATATTATGTTTGTAGGGTGGTTACTCTTATATAGATATAAACGGACAACTGCAAACAGTTGAATATGTAGTAGACCCCATTCATGGATTTAGAGTTGCTGCAACCAACTTGCCTCAAGATGATCCTGACGTAGCTTTAGCCAAAGCACAACATATTGCAGAATACGCAGCCATTAAGTCAAATAATGAGAAACTTGCAGCTGCTACCGTGGCATATTCTAATCCTGTTGCGGTTCCTATCGGCGCCGTTCCTGATATTTTGCTGCATCAAGAAGTAAGTAAAATAACACCTGTGTAGATAACTTAAAAGTTTTATTACTAATCTTTTTAAACAACTGGAAATGGAAGACCATCTAAAAGTTAATACGTAAATAAATAATCAGATTTTTTCTTATAGTAGGGTAGACGGGTGTCGAAAGTAACATTTTTAATTTAAACACCAATTTCGGGAAAACAATAACAGATATAAACAAATTTTCTCATTCAGGCCCATTGCATGTTTAAGCAATATTAAATAGATTATTAAGGTTTTTAAATAATTATAGTTTTTATTTATTTGTGAAAAATTGTCGTAGCGGCAAATAATACAACTGCCCCTAACCCCGGTGCAGTTGTAACATCACGTGGGGTCGCTAGTAACAGTGATCAAAAGCTTAAACAAATGATGTTAATCATTAATCATTCAATGTAACTACAAAAGTTATACAAAAGTACAAAATAAGTTATATTCTTACGTAAAATAAAAACAAAAACTTACCCGAGGAACAGTGAACTTAACCTAACGAATTTTATGCTATACGGAGAGGAACAGGGAACTTAACCTAACAAATTATGGATCAATCTGGTTCGCAATTATGACAAACGTATAAACCTTCTTGGCTGGTGCATTCTTTATGAGACCAACGTTTACATTCAATGGATTGAACCCAATCTTCCCCTGGCTTACTTGAACCATATGGTTCACAGCATATAATGTTTTTTAGATTATTGCTTTTTTTAAGTTTTTTGGTTTTAGTTTAGGGTCAGAAAATTTTTCTTAACGCTATTTTTCTTCTTCTCTTCATATTCTGCCCTAATTTCTTCCTTTTCAGGGGTATCTGTGTATATGGACGATTTTCTTTTCTTTTTTCCTTTATTTCCTTCTTTTCTAGGCGGGGCCTTGAGGAAAGGTCTCACTGCTTCCGGTGTACACTCCTCAGCTGAAAAAACACGTGAAGTTGACGCTGTAGGAATATTATTCAGTTCATTGTTGGTTTAATCTGTGACAGAAAAATACATCGCTGGTGCCGGTTAATTATTTTATTGATTTCTCTGTTTATTTAGTGTAGGTTCATCGTCTCTTTTTTCTGATTTTGTCGTGTTAATTTCAACGTCGTTATTTACTTTATTTGCTGGTGGAGGCCGGTCTGTGACATAAGATGGTACATAATCTAAAGGTGTAAATATATTCCCATTTTAATTTCCTTTAATGTTGCTGGATGCCAGTTTCAGAACACAGTTTCTTCTTATACAAGGCTTTATACTTGTAGGCCATATAGGCAACTCAACTTTTACCCACCAGAATGAATGATCTCAAGCTTTAGCACATATTATGAAAAACGAAATAATCGAGTATTGTTTTCGATAACGACCCAATTATAAAACATGAAACATTATTGCAAGTTCATGGCAGCATGCAAATCCAATATCATATTATTAAATAAAATTTCAGAACACAATTTCAATATACATGTTTATTTAAAACATAAAAGTCAACTTATTTGTAAATTTGAGTCTATTAGTTATGCGACCAGTAATACACTGTAACTGACACTCATTGATTCATCAGTTTAACCTTTTAGGTTTAAAAAGAAAACCTAAAATAAATACACAATGTTAGATAATACATACACTTGATACATAATCTTAATATCTTTGTATTGCCTTGTATTACTTGTATTACTGTTATTATTAACATTATTCTATATTTAAATATTTGCAGCTCCCACAACCAGTAACTGATCTCCCCGAAGTAGTTAGAGCCCGCAGTGAACATCTAGCCATTCTCAACGCTGCGTACGCTAGTACACCAGTATTACCTGTTCCTCCACGACCAGTTCAAGACTTACCCGAAGTCATTAGAGCGAGAGCAGAACATTTGGCAGAGGTAGAAAGAATCAAGCTCAGAAATGAAGCACTTGCTAGACAAATAAGCGTAGGATACGTTCCCGAAATTGGCGATGGAGCAGTTGTTCCGATAAAAACTGTAATTAATTCCTATGTAGCACCGGCTCAAGCAGTGGCACAAACTGCTCAGTATTCTTACAATCCAGTTGCCCACGGTGACGGTAATAACAATTTGGGGAAATATTCATATGGATATGTAGGTGAGTAAGATATAAATTATTGGGAACTATACCGTATCGTTTATGTGACCTAATTACATGGTTTAGCCCAATGTTTAGACTCCAATTTTAACACATTTGTAAAAATTTTCAAATCGGTAAGTGTCATCTAAGTATAACGGATTGCCTAACTTGATATGTAATTTTCTTTTTAAAATTATCGTTTAAAAATGAAATGTATAATTTTTATCACCAACAAAACAAATCTGAAAATTCTCTGCTAGCTACTGGCATGCCCATAGCGGTAGCGCGCGTTTACACATGCCAGTGACACTCCGCACGCATGCGCCTTGCATCTCACAGCATGCTACTAACAAGAAGGCATTGCCAGTTTGGGGATAGGACTAGGAGCTGGTGCTTGCTAGGTACTGGTATGCCATTATGCTAGTAACAGGCATGTGTATCTTCGGATTTAAAGTCTTTTAAAGCTTTAAAAATATTGTCCTCCCGTAATTCTTAACTGGGAGCCTGATTTGCATATTTTTATTAGTCCTTTTGTTTTGAATTTAAATAAAAATATTGAAAATTTTAGAAATAATTTTTCTACCCTGTTATGACATTGTCATTACAAAACCAAGGAACTGTGGCTATCAAGAAACATGTGCAGAAATAGAAAGATTAAATTGCCGCTATTGATAGGTCGTTTTAATAGGTACCTATTTATTCTAGGTAGCTATCTGATTTCTTGGAATCTATTAAATGTAAAGTTTACTTATCCGATGATTTATTGCCATTCGAGTATGATACCAGAAGCCCACCATAGTTTTTATAAAAATCTTTTGGCCCAAGATGATATACGAGAAGGGGACAACAACTAACAGAAAATGTATCTACACTTTTTACAATTTTTCCATGCAAATGTGTTCATGAGAGATAACGGTTCATTCTACTCAAAAAGTGCTAATAAACATTTTTGTTTTAAAATTATCTCAGCTACATTTGCCAAAGCATTGTTGTAGAAGTTAGGCCACAACAGTGCAGATGTGCATAACGGGTTGCGTTTCGTCACAATGAAATCAAATGTTCTCGTATTATAATGTCTTCTTACAATAAAAAAATGTTTCAGGACCTCACAGTTCCCACTCGGAATCAAGATCCGAAGATGGAGTTACTAGAGGAGGATATTCTTATATCGATGCTAATGGTATATTACAAACAGTGCACTACATAGCAGATGCTGAACATGGTTTTAGGGTAGCTGCTTCAAATATACCAGTAGATCCTTACCACGCAAAAAGAGCGGTGTATAGAAGATAAAATTTTAAATAGTAATTTACGCAACGAGTGCACAAAATAGTACTTAAGTCGGTTTAAAACCTGTTATATGATTTGCGATTTCCAATCTTTAGCCATCTCTATCTTCTTTTATGCCGTGATCTTATAAACCTTCTTTTACTCGGTTTCTCCAACCTCATCAGGATCTTAAGAGTTTTCTTTATCTACCTGGTCTTCATTTTATCCCAAACCATTTTAAATATTTGTTTTTTATTTTACCGGTTACCATATATCTTATGTTCATAATATCTCTCTCCCTTGCCATTGGTATTGCATTTTGCATTCTCTCTCCCTTGCCATATTCTTTATTAACTTCTACAAATAGAAGATGTAGTTCTTAATTAAGCTAATTTATTTTCTATAACCTGGGTCACTGAATGATAGTGGTCTGCTGTTGATCTTCCTGTTCTAAATTCCGCCTACTCTTTTGCTTCTTTATCATTTTTTATTTTGAATTTTAAGCTTTTTACATAAAATATACTTCACTTAGATATTGGTCACTGCGATGTCTCGATAGTTCTAACATTTCTTTTCATATGATTAACATTTTAATACATCTAATATGTTTGGAATAGTATTATGAGTTCTTCGTAAAACAATATTACTTCCATGTTTGAATACATATCTTACATATTGCTGCATCGGTAATATAATTTTGTTATCTCGTAAGTGAAATTGTAGATTCAGGAGTTCCTGAAGTTTCTTTTTCATGCTTGGGAGATGTTTTAGCGACTTTCAATGTATTTTCATATAATAATTTTCATTCCACCAATAGGGCTTTCTTTTTTTAGTGTTGCCCTAGGGCTATCCGTGCAGCTAACATATTTTCTCTTTGGTATTGTGCTTCCATTCTATCAAACGAATTTTTTTCTGTAGCTTCTGATCTAGGCCTCTTCCCAATCATCTAACACTTTTTTCCTGTACCAACCTCAGATTGTATTTTTTTTTTTATTCTAGCTTTTTTTCTAGCTTCTGGTTCGTCATCTAATGATTGGCTTAACGATTTTTCCTATATGGTCATATATATTTGCTCTAAATAGTTAGTGATTGCTATTACACGCAGGATCCTCAAGTACTCTTAGGTCTTTGAATTTTATATTTTAGATTTTGTTGGCTACTATGTAATCAATTATCAATATTTGCCCTCTTGTGTCATTTCTTCACATATAATTATGTATTCCTTTACGTTGAAGGTCTATATCTTAATTATTTCATTATTTAGTTGTTGTATCTTTCATTTTAACAGGTTCGTCATTTTGTACTTCATAGACATCATCTGTATACAATGTACACACAGTCATCTTATCATCCTTTCAAAGATTGCTTCCCCCAAAGTTATATTTTTCCATTTGTTTTATTATTATAATAGGTACTCCTTTACTTGCTCACACTTCTTTAGAAATACTTGATAAAAAATTGTTGTAGTGTCCAAGTTTTTCTGAGCCTTGTCCCGTCTTCTTGGTTTTCGTTGTTACTAGTAGATCCCTTTTCTGCTGTTAAACTTTATCGTTCTAATTGTTTCCTGTAAGTCATTGGCATGTTACTGAACTTTATTCTATTGCCTAGGCGTAGGACTGGCTAAGGAAATTTGTCTGTTAATCAATCCACCCACAAATTAAAGCCCGCGAAGTACTTTTTTTATAGAAAACTTCACAGTGTTGCAAAATTCCGTGAGTAAAAAAGAAACTTTGTGCATTTGTAGCGTCCAATAGCTTTTACTTAAATAATAAATATTACCTATATCTTGTTTATATTTGTAATATTACATTATTGCCTTAAAAAAATAAATTTAATTGTTAATTTAGATTAAATAAAAATTTAATTAGAAGTTGTTGATAATCATTTAATGGTGTAATAACAAGAATGACACAAGAAAATATACCGACAGGTATATTGGAGAAGCTATATCTTCTAATATGTGGCAAAAATATAAGTTACCAATACACTACAGTCTTCTTAATGCATAATTATATGCATAGATAGGGCACTGACATATATTATATTTTCACCACAACAAAAATACATCATTTTGACTGATTCACTAAAGTTATTACAATCCATAGAGAAAAACACCCAGATAATCACATTTTAGAAAAAATCCAAAAAAATCTAATAGAGATAAGTACAAAACTTAATACAAAAGCTATCTTCATTTGAATTTCAGATCAAAGATGGCGGACAGCTGGATGGTTAGGTATATGGTCCTGGGGTCATAGACGTAGCCTCTGGGGATGTATGCGGTAATGTATAAGAAGAATGAATAAAAAATTTGCAATCACTTTGATGGCAGATTTGGATGACTAGGTGACGTTGTGGTCTCTGTAGGTGTACAAGAAAGCCTTTTTGCTGAAAGCCTATTTTGTTACCATATTTTGTCACCAAATATCTACATAAAACCCAACTGGTAGCTTTTCACTCATATTTTCCATTTTAACGAACACTCTCACCCCTCTAATGTTAGGGAAGGTTTTCTTGTACATTTACAGAGGCAATAACATCACCTAGTCATCCAAATCTGCCATCAAAGTGATTAAAAATTTATTATTCATTTCTACGAATACGTTTTTTTCTACTTCTCCCATTTTCACCTTAACAAAATCCCTCTGACGACAGGGGTGGCTTTCTTCTACACTTATACTTTTTTGTAAATTGCAATTTTCAGTGTCCCATCTTCGGAATATTAAACCAAATATTAAACCTTGGATATTTTCTTCATCAAATGAAGCAATTAAATGACAATAACCCGTCTTAAATTAGGTCATACCGATGCTACCCATGTTTTTAATTATTACAAAAGAATGCGAATCAAAATGTGAGCAGTGTAACAGTAGGAGTATTAAGCTCTGGATGAAACATATTATTCTAGACTGTCCAGTTTTCTCCGCAGCAAGAAGCAATTACGGTATACCACTAGAGAAAGCACTTGGTGCAAATTGTTCTTTCACAAATATGATAAATTAATCAAAATAATTTAAAATCTAATATTTAATATTGTAAAGATTTGCTTCTCCCTAATAACCTTCGAAAAATAACAAGTCTCCGGGAATCGATAACATTGCTGCCGAAATGCTTAAAACTGATCCGCATCTAACTGCTGAACTTTTGCTCCCCATAATCCGAGAGGTATGGGAAACAAACCGCATTCCAGCGGGCTGGAAAAAGGCATCATTATTAAGTTTCCAAAAAAAGGCAACCTCACACTATGCAAAAATTGGAGAGGAATAACCTTGCTTACCGCCATAACTAAAATCTTCACGACCATCATACTTAAAAGATTAACAAACAAGGTTGAATTTCGAGCTAATCAAGTAGGCTTTAGACCAGAATCCTCCTGCATAGACCACATTAATACTGTGAGGCTAATAATGGAACAATCGGTTGAATGGAACACACCCCTATACATGGTTTTTGTTGATTTCGAGCGTGCTTTTGACAGCTTATCTCATGATGCGATATGGAAAATTTTAGAGCTAAGAAACATCCCGCATAAAATAATTTCCATCATAAAGTTACTGTACACTGAAGCGAAATGCAACGTGACACACAATGGGATCAACAGTGACGAATTTGACGTACTTACTGGAGTCAGACAGGGATGCGTGCTTTCTCCGTTTCTTTTTAACATAGCTCTAGACTATGTTCTCTCCAAACTAGACTCTGACACAAGAGGGATACAATGGACGTTAACCACACGCCTAAGCGATCTAGAATACGCCGACGATATCTGCCTGTTAGGACAAAGGTTTCAAGATGTGGCTGACCAATTGGAAACACTCTCCACTGAAGCCAATAAAATAGGTTTGAAAATCAATATTGGTAAAACCAAATCCATGAGAATAAATGCAAGAAACAACACGCTATTCACCATTAATAACATGCAGATTGAAAATGTGGAAAACTTTACGTATCTTGGAAGTGTCATAACAGAAAGCGGAGGTACAGAAGACGATATTCGTATGAGGATACGAAAAGCGCAACAAGCTTTCAGCTCAACCCTGTTTGGAGGTCTGGAGACTACACTACGAGGACAAAAATCCACATATTCCAGTCAAATGTCATGTCTGTACTACTTTACGAATGTGAAACCTGGAAAGCGACAAAAACCTTTACAGACAAACTGCAGGTCTTTGTTAATAAATGTCTACGAAGAATTGTTCGTATTTTCTGGCCTAACATCATCAGAAACGAAGATTTACTACACCTGACCAAACAAAAGAGGGTAGTAAATGAAATAAAGTCCAGAAAGTGGGGTTGGATCGGTCACACACTCCGAAAAAATAACTCCAGTATTGCAAAGACTGCCCTAGAGTGGAATCCCCAAGGAAAACGAAAAAAAGGTCGCCCAGTACAAACTTGGATAAGATCATCATGGACGAGATAAGAAAACAAGGAAAGTCTTGGAATGAGGTGAAGGCCTTAGCGCAAAATAGAACCCGATGGCGCGTTTTCACTGAAGCTCTATGCTCCACTTAGGAGTTCAAGAACCTTATATATATATATATTATATTATATATATATATATATTATATATATATATATATATATATATATATAATAACCTTCGGATTGACGCAAATTTGTAAATAAAAAAAATTCACTGTTTTATTCTTAGATAATACAATTTATATTTGAATGTAAAAAATTCATACAATCTTAACTGATACACCTTTAAAAGTTTAAAAGTTTTACCCGATCCAATTTTTTGCTGAACAATAAATATAATATCTCAACAGACATCGGTATAAAACAAAAAAACTCCCTAAATTTCATTTAATACGCTTGAGCGTTTAACGACCCTCCGTGAGTCTCCAAAACAAAGGATTTATAATATTTAGAATCTTACAAGTCCGTAATTCATGCGGAGATACAAAATCCACAATCACCCCAATAATGGCCACTTATAAAACCCGTACGACCCAAAAACAAATTTTCCTCACTGCTACAAATTTCTTGTAGCTCACATAGGCGTATCAGGGGAAGCC